GCACCTAATTTATGTTTAGTAAAGTATATTATGACTTTATGCTATTTATTCACAAAGAATCAATTTATTTTTTACCTATGATGTAATCTCTACATCGCCTTATACGAGCATAATCAAAAAACATTTACACTGTGTATTCTCGTTAAATAAAAAGTAATATTTTATTGATTTCTGAAGTTAGTCAAAATTTTATAACTAAAGATATCTTTGCTGAGAGTAAGGGCATTAATCTTTGGAAAAGATAAAGTAGGTGTACATCTATTTCGATTAAGTATTGATGTTTTAGGCAGCACAGAGAATACTCTGTGTACACTGTAACGTGTAAGAATGAAAAAAAGAACAAAATAAAAAAAACATAAATTTTGAATATCAAAGTTTACTTAATAAACCGATGAGAACGAGGTTTTTACAGCACAGTCATACTTTTTATTATAATTATATGTATATCTATGTATATATATATGTATTTATATATATATGTTTGTGTGTTCGTATAGGTATGTATTCATGTATGTATAGAGCATTTGCACACCTGCAGTCCTCTCTAAGCACAACAAGTATTACAGTATGTATTGTTGATGACAATGTCTATGAATCAAGAATGGTTTGCAACAGGCTTGTGAAGTTTCAGTGAGCTGCATTGTTACGTCTACCGCGTCTCTTGCGGCTTCCACTAGGACGGTTCGGAGACGCCCATTGTTCATAAAAACGTTCCCTCTCTAACCATTCTTGATATTTATACCACCATTCCTCCCACTTTATGTAGTCATCTAATGTGAGATCTCGAAGATATCCTCTTGCTTTGTAATAATCATATCTGACACGGACGTCGTCCCAACATTCAAGATCTCTTGGTCCTTGTGCTAACAGTGATTCAGGATAATGTCCCGGAGGTGGAGAATCATATCCTAATCTTGCAATTCTTTCTTCGCCTTCTATTACTACTTTCATAGCATTTTCTCCATCCTTTGTAATTCTCATGTTCTCCATATCTCTACGATCTACGCTCCACTGTGCCATTTTTCCGAATCTATAAGACAGTTTTACATTCTTATTTTAGTCCCGCTCTTCCCGTTACTCTTCATACATTAGATATCACAGACATACCGTTCTGATAAAGTCATTCTAGGTGGTCCCACGTGTGATGTAGTAGAAGAGCTGTCGCTGTCTTCACTGGGTGAGGATTCCGGTGGGGGCCTAATCATCTGGGTTGCTCCGTGGCTTGAATGTGTTTTTTCTACCTTTACAGGTTTACGCATCTGCACAAGTTCAATAGTTACATATTGGAAACAAGACCGACTGTAGGTAAAGCTAGAAAGGGCTTATTATTATACGTGAAAAAAATTGTTGTTACATTTAAGAACCATAATTTGTAATTATGTACATCAACAAAAATATGTTTTACCAATGGTATTGGATCTGGGACACGTGGATCTTCTGGGATTCTAGTATGATGCTTTTCTTTGCGTCGAACTTTGGCTTCTTTTTCTTTAATTGTTTTGTAGTCCTTTTGGTGACGTGGTGGAGGTTGCGGTGTAGGTGGGGGTGTGCGTGGACGAGGCAAAGGAGGTGATCGCGGTCTAGTTCGAGCCGGTATTACTCGGGAACTCGAGGGTATTATTTCTTTTGGATGTGCTCGAGCTCGAACCGGTGTGAGCGATCTTGAACGCGAACGAGAAGGTTGGGTAATGCGTCGTCGTTCTTTCGGCGAACAGACGCTACATGATCTATCGGAACAAGTACTGCCTGTACTTGGACTTCGTGCCGGTCTTCCTCTGGTATGCGATCTATCGCGAGGCGAACGTGGACTTCTAGTTCGAGGACTGCGCGGTCTTGGGCTATGGGGACTCCTAGGTCTAGGACTTCTTGGACTGCGAGGATGTCCTCTGCTCGGTTCTCCGCTTGCTGTGCCTCCAACATACAACTCTTTGTATCCACTGTGCCTCCATCGATTTGGGTCTCGCTCCTCTACCTCCAGAAGCTTTTTATTCCAATAACTTGATTGAGACTCACGAGCTTTCCGCATCACACTATCTAATTCTCTCCTCTTCCCAGAATTTTCACCATGAGGTCTGGGTTGGGATACATTGGTATCCATCCGTAATTTATTAGAGCTGCTACCACTATCAATGCCTCCTCTTCTTCTATCATAGTCCCGTGACATTCCTGAAATAATATAATATTTGTAAGTTTCTATTTCGTATCTTCATTTCAGTTCATATGTTAACAAGCGGTATTTCACGTGTTTACCTTACGGATATCTTGAACCGGAAGACACTGGAGGAGCGAAAACTGCTGATCCGAACTCCTGCGAGAGCAGTGAACACGTTAATTCTCAAAACATGACAGAACAGCCATAAAGATGATAATACGTTGGATTAATCGCCATGAGACCACTAGAAGAACCAGTACCACTCGTCCTTTGGGTCGACTGGCCTACGTTAAAAATTCTATATGTCACAAATAGGTATCATCTGTAGTGGTTCGAGCAGCGGAAAAGTTAGTATTCCCGGTCAAAAGCGTTTCTCAGAATTTGAATTCGCGAAATCCACATGTGGTATTGGACATCACCCGTCGCGATGTCTTACCATCGCCACTCTCCGCATGTCCAGAATTGCAGTACGCTTCGATCCACGATCCATAAATGTTGGTCGCGTGGACTTTCAATGAGTCGAACCAAATTCAGAGATCGCCTTTCGAAGGCGTCGCGTGCACGCGAAAACGCGAGTCGGTCGGGTCCCAAGTTTTCGCGGGTCTTTTGCATTTACCGGACCGAGAACGCATAAGGTTGTGAAGTTTATCTCGAGCATTACCCGGGTAACGCCGTACCGGCGGCACTCACGTAGCCGATTACGATACACGATAAGACCGACCGACTGTCCGACCGACCGCTCATCAGTGTTACACCGACCGTGTGTACACAGACGAGAGAATTGCGCGTACGCGAATCTTTTTTCAGTGTATCGGGACATCATCGGGGATGTCGTACGCGGAACGTCACCTTTTCGGAAAGCGTCGGAGGATATCTTGTCGCGAACGACTCATAGCCACACCGAAACGCGACACGGAATTTGTGGCTCGAGTAACGGGTACGTCAAGGTCACGCAAATGCCCGACTGCACGATATCGTGACCGGTAGAACCGTGTTTCTTGCGACACCATTTCAGATATTACCCGGGCAATACCTTGCTGGTGTCGTAACGGATACTTTGAGAATCGCGGAATACCTCGAGCACAAGCTCGGGGAGATAAAGAGAAAGAGAGAGATAGAGAGAGTCCGAACCGGTATGTACGCGTATAGCCTCCTTCGCTCCTTTCTTTCATTAAAAGCGAAGGTCGGCTCTTCTCGCTTTTTCCCATTTGCTGGTACACACCTTTGCACTAGTTCTTTTTTTGTTTTGGTTTTATTAATATCTTTTTTTATTTTTTTTTTTCGTCGTTGTTTTACGTGGCTTCACAAAACTTTTACCCGACGCGATACTTCGAATAGATCTAACTCTGGCAACGCTGGTTGCTACCCGTACCGAAGCGTCAGAGGCGTTCATTCGCTCGCAGTCTACGGTCACTTTGAAAATCAATCGCCCACCCAGTGAGCGCTACTCGTGGAATTTTCACGACATTCACCGGGCTCAAGAACCTTTCGAGACAACGACACTCACTTTTCTCACCGCGGCAACTCGCAAACTTGCATTTTCTGGCACGAATCTTGGTGATTCACTTCCGCGTGACGTTCTACGAATGGAGATCGTTCAAAAGACTTTTCTTTGACGAGCCGCACCAAATGCAGAGGATGCATTCCAAGCGAAACGAACAACAGATGTCGCCTCGATTGTTCGTTCGTGCTTTACGAACGCCATACGTACTCCTGATTTTTTATTAATTTGTATAAACATTTTCATAGCGATTCTGTAGTTTATTTCCAAATTATTCATTTTGTGTTTTAATGAATGATATTATTTTACTCTGTGCACGATATTCAATGCAATCGATAGTACATTGAAAGAAATTACATACATATGGTCGTGTTGTGTATTGCGCATGGGTACGCGTCTTCCATTGGATGTTTGATTTACCCGCGTACCAATGACTACAGACTATAGATATGTTTAAATATTTGGTCTGATTTCAAATCGAATAACTGAAATAGAAATGTTGATAGCAATCGGATTCGACGGTAGCGCGAATGTTACTTATGTTACACCGCCGGGCGAAGGTAAAAACATAACATTTCACATCCATTCTTCAGGAAACAGTACATACTGTTCGTACGAATCATTAATATTTATGAAGTTGCACATGAAATTTTTCAATGATTCTTTTGGAAAGGATTCTTGCCACGTGAAACTGCGCAACATCACAGAACACACATTCTTGATGTTCTATAAAAATCATTGGACGATGCAAAGATAACATTGAAGGATGTAGACGTACAATAATCCTATAGTTGCAGTAAATCATTGTGTTGATCATATAGAAATGGGCCGTTTAATCACAGGTAGCTCGAATCCAACCGTTCTCTATGTTTCCGGAGGGAATACACAGGTGATTGCATACTCTCGACAAAGATATCGTATTTTTGGGGAAACAATAGATATAGCTGTTGGAAATTGCTTGGATCGTTTTGCAAGGCTGTTGAAACTTTCAAACGATCCTAGCCCTGGTTATAACATAGAACAATTAGCGAAAAAGTAAGTTGTTTCATTTTGACAGATCATTTTATCTGTAAATATAGTAACGATTTCTCTTGTTACAATTCCATGGATATAAAGAGGTAAAAAACTAGCACCATTGTAATATGTGGTTAAAGGTATGGATGTATCTTTTTCTGGCATATTAAGTCACATAGAGGAACATCTCCCCTCTTGGCTAGATTCAAAAGAATTTACTCAAGAGGATCTATGTTTCTCTCTACAAGAAACATTGTTTGCTATGCTGATTGAAATTACAGGTACAGTGGCATGAAATACAATTCCACTTCATAATGTAACAAACAAATATGTTTCTGATTTTATGACGTTTTAGAACGAGCAGTGGCTCACGTAAAATCATCTGAAGTATTGATTGTTGGCGGTCTGGGATGTAATGAAAGATTGCAGGAAATGATGGAAATTATGTGTAAAGAACGAAATGCAATACTTCATGCTACAGATGAACGATTCTGTATAGACAATGGGATAATGATTGCAGTGGCAGGATTATATCAATATAAAAACAACGGTCATACTCCCTGGATGCAGACTTCTTGCGTCCAGAGGTATCGCACCGATGACGTGCTTGTTTTATGGCGCGAATGAACTAATTTTAAGACGAATATAAGAAATAGATTTTTTACGTCGTTTGTCAATAAAAAATCTATTTCGTTTATCGAGCTGTATATTAATTTCTTTATTCTTCTTCATTTTTCTTTTTGATAGCAAGCTTTAAATTCTCAATAATTGTGGCATTCCCAAGATTGGGAAAATTGAAATAAAAAAATTAGTATGACAATTTGGCGGACTGGGGGGAGGGGGATTAGGATTAGGAAAACAACTGTTGCGCCATCTCTGCCAAGTTGTCGGAACTTTTAACACACTAGTATATCTCGTCTGGAACAAGAACCGCGAAACTTATACCAGGTGGCGCTATCAATTTATTTAGAGACATTTGGTCTGTCGATAAATTTGCCTACCAGTTTGAGTGTTTTCTCCCTACGAGGAATGGCGCTAAATTTTGAATTTCCATCAGCTACCATCTTTTCGTTTCGCAATACAGCTAGGAAAAGATTGTCTCTCAAGATAAGACCTCCCGATCCCTTTGAAGACTTTCTACCTCAAGATGCACTTCGCGAATTTAACGAGATCGTGATCGCTTCCAAGTAATGTCAGTTACCAAACTTTGCGTCCTCGAGCTCGATTTTCTTAGAAGGACCTGTCTTTAGCAGATACGTTCTCTTGAACCAAGAAATCATTACGCCCCTTGAATTATCAGGATCCTTATATGTATCTCTGTCTTTCCAGGGAGCAGTTACACGTGATTCCTTGGACACCCCATATACTTGAGGTCGCGTGGGCGAAGAGGAATCGTTCGCCTACGCGACTTTCCGCGTATGTCGGAACATTTCAGCGTGAACCGTCAGTGTGTCAACGACTACCATCTAGACGAAGAGGAACGGGAAGACGTGAAACTGTCTGTGGAAACGAATGCAGTTATCCCTTTTGAAGTGTACATCGAGATATGTGACAACATGTTGCGAAAACGATCGTCGAATCGTATTTAACAATAATTAGCAACCGGAAGAAACGTGCATCGTGAAGGGAGGGGGTGAGTAGAAATCAATTTTCATTAACGCTAAACTAATTTTCGAATTTATTATTCTAGTAATTGTTAAACTCTTAAGATGCTATGTATGTATTACTTTGGTTACATTTTTTATTCTAGCACATAAGATTGAATTTATCTAGACTCTGTGCCATTTGCGCCATTTTTACAAGGTAACAAATCAGTCACGTCTAGCGTTCTAGCTTTGGTGTTCATTACAAGTCTTGACCACAGTTTAAGCTCTACTTACTATAATCGAATAACAATACTAGGAAGAATCATACAATTATTTAACAGCGACGCCTCGTGGTAGCGAGAAATCGGGGGAACAATGCCAGAAGAACTTCGAATATTATTACACCACGAGATTCCACTGGGTAATTCGAACGGAGGCAATACGTCTTCAATTTTCGCTTATCCACGCGTGTCTATATTGCCCGGAAACCTGAAACTTCCTCGTCGCTATTGTGCAGAAGGTCTGCCGAAGTTGGACCGAAGTCGTTCGACTTCGGCAACTCGAAGGGCTTCTAATGACATGACCGGAACATTCTATTTACTTTGAGATTCCGGAACACTTGTTTGTCTAATCATCCGTGCCTCTGTAATATCCGCGAGAGTTTCTGTGCGAGATTTTTGGTTGCTTTATTCGCTAGAGGAAAGTTAAAATTATGGCCTTCAGTGTGGAAGAGAAAGTCAATTAGGGAAAATGAATCTCGCCTGTCTAGTTAATCTAGTTAATCTAGTTAATCTAGTTAATCTAGTTAATCTAATCTAATCTAATTAGTTAATTAATTAATGAGAATCTCAAATTTTCAGTTACTAATAAGTTAGAGATGGAGTAAATATATCTCTTGTTCAACTGAAGCGGATTTAGTAATTATTTATTGGATGACTGTAATAATAATATCCATCCACTGCAACCAATTTATCTTAAGACATTCACGACTTTACAAACTAGCTAAGACATCCAGATGATAATAATAAGACTAATGATAATAATTGGTTTATTGATCTACGAGAAATATAGTTTCTACATTCTATATAACAGAGAAAAGAAGTGGTAAAATGAAGGGATAGAACACGATAGAAAATAAGTGGTAGAGATTGTTATATAAGGTAAAAAACATTGAAAACATAATAGAGAAGAGTACAGCAAGAGATCGTTTAAATAATATATAATACAGAAAGAAGGTAAGATTTAAAATCAATAGGATGATTAAGAGAAAATCGAAGCGATGATTACGGAGGTTTTGAAAGAGATGTACGAGCAACATAGAAAGTTGACTTTGCAACAGTACCTAAATCCCCAGTCGCTTTGGCCTATCAGCAATTAAGACCCCGGCTCGAGATAATCGCGACGATTAACAGAATCGTGCTCCTCGAGTCGCAAGAGTTCTACACGCACCAAGAAAATCCATCTTCTCCAAGAGATACAATCGCATCATCTTCTCTCCGCTTTTCTTATCCGCGTTTTCATTCTCCGGTTCACTCCGGTTCACTCCGGTTGCCCGGAGCGTGTTTCACAAAGCTGCGTTTTCCGCGCGACGTTCCCCAATCCTTTTCGAGTCCGCGACGGTGATACTCCGCTGTCTTTTCCGTTTACTTAAGGAGAAAAAAGGGATTACGGATCAACGTAAAAGTTGTAGACGAATATTTTACAGCGAATCTGGTGGCACGCTGCGAGGAACACCCTCGTCCATAAATTCGGGATGCTTTTATAGGGAGGGCGGTGCGGGAAGTACGCCAGCCATGCGAGTCTACTTTGAATAAGGGTGTCGAATGATCGATGGCGAAAAATTCTTGAAGCTTCTCTGTTATCTTCACTCGCTTTTCTCCATGCTACCGCTTTTACACCGCTGCGTGGAACACTTTGAAACCGTTCCAAAAGACTCCTCCAAAAAATCATTTGCGTCACGATTTTGACCCTTAATCTTTAGGAAGTGATTTCATCGGACGCCAGACTATTCTATTCATGACGTTTAACCTTGTGGAACACCTACGCTTTTGGATTCGCTAAGAGGATCCTCATGCTTTATATTCGTTGTCTTGTCTTGGAATTTTTCACTTTATCTTGAAAATCGTTTCAGATTTTTAGTTGTTTTGATATTTTCATAGGATATCACAGATCAGTTACTTTAATTTTAGTACTTCTGATGTTGAAGGATTCGTCCAACTATTTAGCTTCTAATGGTTCATTTAAATTGGATGCTGCAAGATCTACGAATCCAGACGAAATTTCTTGAAAAATATATTATTAGATTGGTGCATATTAAATGTCGGATTTTCTTTACACGCGAACGTTTGACTCCCTGTTTTTGTTATATTTTTGTTTTTGGCATAACCTCGTTTCTAGTCGTACCGTCAATAGCCAGAGTCGCATTTCAACAAAAGATTTTCTCGAAAG